TTTAAGGTTCATTACACACAGAAAATAAACTGTTAGATAGATGAAAAATGGAGACAATTTTGTTCAATTTTGATGTTCTTAGATCCTTCCCAAAAAAGCTTACGCTGAATGTTATCATGCTAAAATGCAATGTTAGCTTTAATTTCTCCTGTTGTTTTAAGGGTTTCCTCTGCTATGGCCTGTTTAATGGCAATTCATTCTACAGTAGCATAATATTTTATTTTATACATGCCAAACTACAACTGTAGAAATACACTGCTCACAGTGTCACTGCAGACAGTCTATAATTATCATGTGTAAGAGGCAGTATTTTAGTTTTCTGCAGTATTTGTTCGGATCTTCTGTTTGCTTGTTTGCTTTCCAAATGAAAAAATCTGGTTGCTTCAAATGAGAGAATCCAATATTGCTGTATCATTGGGTTTATATGTGAGTGTATGCCCTGGTTTGCAGCAGAGAGTAGAATAGGTTCTGACATGACTTTTTCTTTATGATGTTCATGCCCTCCAGAGGAAGGATTCCACTAATTTCAGTGATCACAACTGTTTCTCTAGCGCCACCTGCAGGTCAAAGTGTTTTTTACAATCATGGTTCCCAGAGGATGGATCTGTCTGACTTTTCCTCTAGCACCACCTGCAGGTCTAAGTGTTGTTGTTGTTTTTTTACAATCAGGGTTCCCAGAGGACGGATCTGTCTGACTTTTCCTCTAGTGCCACCTACAGGTCATGGAGTTAACATAGCCTGATAAATATCTCAGCATCTACCACAGATTGGCAGGTTGATATTTGTGTTGGTATTTTTGGGGCTTTATTGCCTTTATTTGATAGGACAGCAATAGTGTGAAGAGGGAAGAGAAAGAGGGGGAATGACATGCAGCAAAGGGACAAGGGTTGGAAAGATAAATGTTGATCGTTGATCGTCCATGCCTCGACAGGTCAGAGCCAAGTCCAATCCAAGGAGACCCCACCTTTGATTAGGGGTAAGTCATGTGAGTCAGAGGTGTAAAGTAGGAGCACCTAATAGACCCTTCCTGACTTCCTGCCCCTTTACTTCTAGCGCCTGTGCACGGACCCCACTCATCTTCAAACTTAGCCTTCGTTTTGATCCCAACCACAGATCTGTTCAGTTTTGTGACTGCATCTTGCCCGATTGCGACACTACTGCATTGATGAAATGTGTCCACAGACAGAAAGTCAGACATGTAAATACCTGGCTAAGTGCTCAAACTGCTTCTGTGGTTGTTCCAGCTACAAAAGGCGTATCCAGGACCACATTTTGCCATGATGACTGGAAGCTTGGTATCCAGTCACAGTGGGTGGTGTTGAGTACCGGGTCACTGAGCTTGTTAACAAGCTTAGAAGGCACAATCATGTTGAGTGTTGAACTATAGTCTCACATATGTGTTCCTCTGGTCCAGGTCGGAGAGGGCAGTGTGAAGGACAAAGGCATTGTCTGTTAATCTGTTTGGTTTGTTAGCAAATTGCAGTGAGTCAGGGAGGGAAGAGGTGATGAAGACTTGGACTAACTGCTCAAAGTACTTCATGATGGAGGAAGTGGGGGGTACTGGGCAGTAGTGTCTCAGGCAGAGGGCTTGGGTCTTTTTGGAAACAGGAGCTGTAGTCTTCTTGAAATATGGGGACTACACACTGGAGCTGTGACAGGTTGAAAATGTCTGTGACGACATCTGCCATTTGATCTGCACACACCTTGAGTGCTCAGCCAGAGATGCCATCAGGTCCAGTTGCCTTGTGTGGGTTAATCCTTTTTAAAGATCTGCGCACACCTGCTCAGGATATTACTAGTCTGATGTAAACTCCCTCAGGAGGTAATCGGGACAGCTACTGATCATATGGTGCTCATGACTTGGAAGACAGCCCATAGAAATTATCTCCACATCTGAGCACCACTTGCTTTTGATCATGAAGCAGACACCTTACTCTCCTTTTGCTCTTCCTTGATGTTATTGCCGATCCTGGCAGTGAATGGAGAGCCACTCTGGGACAATGGCCAAAAAGTCCAGGATCGAAGGGTCGAGCCAAGTCTCCCTGAAAACCATAACATTGCAGTTCTCAATGCCCTGTTGAAAAGGCATCCTGTTCCTGAGTTCATCCAGCTAAGTATTCAGTGACTGGACATTTGCCAGAAGGATACTCAGAAGAGGAGGACGGTTTTCATGTTTCCTCAGTCTCACAATCAATTAATCAATTAATCAAAATCAACCAAGGTTTTGGTCATGGACTTTTGACGTCCACATGCAACGTGCAAGGAACCCTGCGTGCATTGGTTGCTGACGTTCTGGGACAGGGTTTGACGTTAGAATCTCAACACCGCTCTCTCGGGTAAAAGTCTGTGTTTGTTGGACCCATCCACCATACCTCCTGTCTGCCCACTGGGAGTACGTCTTCTTACATTGTTGGCTGCTGCTTTATAATTTTCCATGTTTGTGGATGGCTTGGGTAATCCACAGTTTCTGGTTGTGGAATGATTTAATTGTCCTAACATCCTGACTTCAACAAGATGGCCGCATGGTCACTTCTCCCAAACATGGACAGCCATCTTTGAATGGTATAAATTTGTCTAGGCGATCCAAAGCTGGATCGGGACAGCACCCCACCGACACACCAGTCCTTATTCACTGCACTCACTAGGACACCACGGCTCTTGCCTTGTCTCCTTCAGTTTTCAGGTGCAGCAACACATGATCCCAGCAATGGATATTCCCCATGCTTTGCTGTCCACCAATGATCGAACGTGCAGAGTTGTTGCTGTTGTTGCTGTGGCTTGCTTGGGCAGTGTGCATGTTGCAATAAGTAAGAAATAAGTAAGACATTAAATTAACTAAAACAATAAAAAGAGCAAAGTTAAAGAGGAGCTCGAGACAGCCATCAATGGCGCCATCTTGGCTCACCTTCTACAACTAATGGATGGATTATTATGAAATTTAGTTCTCACATTCATGCTCCTGTCAGGATGAATTGAAGTAACTTTGTTGATCCTCAGACTTTTTCATCTAGCTCCACCAGCGGGTCAGAATGTTAATGTGTCAAATACTTAGGTTGATGACCCAATACCTGCAGAACTAAAGACATTCCCGTCAGACTCAACTGTACTTTGTGTTCAGGGCTGAAAGGTATGGCTGTAGACTCTTGCACATTAATTACTCCCCAAACTTTCTTGGAGCTTCTTGTTTAAAGTTTGAATTAAAAAGAAAAAGCTTCAGTCAATTCAGCTACTCAACACACAATTACTTTTTTTAAGGAATCATTTAGCCAGCAGAGAGGAAATGATGGATCTGAGGGGTTTTGTGGGAGCTTTGTGGGAGCTTTGTGGTGACGGACCAGAGAACTTAACATGTTGCAGACGTGTTGGAGACATGTTGGCTATGATATCATAATCTGCTCAGTCAGCTCGTGAGGTCAGACGGCCATCTGTGGTCTCAGACAGAGAGCACTACAGGATACATGAGGGAGACTGTGGTGACGGGGGATTAGTGAAGGGTGGATGGACAAATAGATGGATGAGCAAGTGAGTGAATGATGATTGCAGTCACTAATGGATGAATTAACAACTAAATGGCAAGACAGAAATGTGCACTAATGGGTGATTTGATGAACTAACAACAGAACAGCTAAAAGGATGAGCAGGTGAATGACAGCATAAAAATGTTTGAAGCCACAGATGAATCAGTGAATGCATAAATGAGCAAATCAGCCAAGCAAATGAAGGACTGAATGAGACCAAATGAGAGAATTAATGGAAAGCAGATGGAGTGATGAAGGAAATTTAAACACAAACTGAAAGAACTTGTTACCACTCTATGCAGTGACTACTCCAAAGGCAGCAGTGGAAATAAAAGCACTCTGGTGTCTGAGTTTCAACAGTAAATCAGTTTAATGTACAAAGCAGACAACAGAGTGCTCTTATTTCTATTCTTTAAAGCATCAGGGGTAACAAAACAAAACGCACATCAAATCTGTTTGGAGAATACATTAAGGTGATTTGATCAGGCACTTCACTCAGGCCTATTTGTATCTCCACCAGGCATAAAACCTGGAGGGGATCATGCATTTGTTTGTGTAAGTGTGTGTGTGTGTGTGTGTGTGTGTGTGTGTGTGTGTGTGTGTGAGTGAATGTGTATATCTGTCTGTCTGCAGCTTATCTGGCAAACTACTGGACCAGTCAGCCTAATATATTATATGCACATTTATGACTGTATGCTCAAGGATCTCTTGTGGTTGTGATGATTCACAGTTGTTGAAAAACTATTGACTGTCGTTAGATGCTCCTCACTCCTCTTTTAACTCACTGGTAGGGGCCACAAGTTTAGAATAAGATAGAAATAAAACCCACTTGCTAATAATAATGCTACATGCATAGAGTGCTTCACATAAAAAAACATAGAATGGGACGACTTTGTGTCTATAGGTAATTACATGTCTGAGTGTGCAAAAATGACGTGGAGTTCCCCAAGGCTCCACTTTGGGACCTCTCCTGTTTAACTTTTAAATCAAGGTTGAATACTTACTTGTCTGCCGCTGCCTTTTATTAAATCAAATATTTTTTCATTTCTTGCACTGCACTTTCATTTTTGTTCAAATACTCTTATTGACTTTAACTGCACTGCAACTTTATTAAACTCAATTTAAATCATTATAAATAATCTTTTTATCTTTGCACCTGTTGTCTAGACTTTTGCTTTTTTAATGGTGATTTTAAAAAATGTGAATAATTTAGAATTAATTTTACCTTCTAAAATGTTTTTCTCTTTATTCTCTCATTGAAGTCTATATCCTTTATTATGTTTTATGTTTTACTGCTCTGTAAAGCACTTTGAATTGCCCTGGTGTATGAAATGTGCTATACAAATAAAGCTGCCTTGCCTTAGAATGAACATTAAACAAGACAACAAGGCCATTCATTATATAATGTAACATAATATAATAAGACATTGTGGTACACAGCCATGTCATCTTCACAGTGGTTTTTCTCTCTGTGTCCCGCAGCTCTTCTGGCCAGCTGCGATGCCTTCAGATTGGGTTCGACCCATAGGGTCATACCCCTCAGTCCCCCGGTGGCCCGTCTATTCCAGGACGAAGGCCCAGCCCAGCCACACTTCATCCAGGAATTAGTCAGAACCAAACGCCACTCAGCCCACGAGTTAGTGCGAGCCCAACCTAATTTGGTCCACGACATGGGCTGGCCAGAGATACATGAGACATCCCGTTCTCAGGCCAAGATGGATGCTGCCAACTCCTCTCAGTTAAATCCGCCATCGTCTGCTGGTCAGCATGTAGCCAGGACCCATCCAGCTGTGGATGAAAACCTTGATGTGGAAGACGAGATGGAGGTGAGGATGAGTTCATGGTGACGTGTAATAAACTGCAGAGGGTTCAACCTTCAGTGTACAGTAAATGCCTGCATCTGGACAAGTCTATATGGAAGCAACTGATAGCCAAAAATGTTTTAATCTGTTTTTGTTTTGGTGAATCAGCCGAAATGTGTAATTCAACAGAGATGTGACAAAGCAAACCGTGAAACAATGGATTAACATTGTATGACAGGGACTCTCAGAAAAACACAGCATGTGGTAGTGGTGAAATGTAAGTACTGTACCTAAAGGAGAAGTCTGGTATTTTGCATTTTGAGCCCCATTTCTGGGTTGTTTATGATGAAATAGAGTGGCTAAGACCAAAATAGTGATGACTGCTCATTTTCAGAGAATTTGGCTTTCCCCTGCCTGGTTTAACACTGCTTTCATTGGTTATCAATCAAACCGTCTCACCAAATATTTTTCTATTTGCAGCGTATGGTTCATCTGGTGGTTCCTCAGGACTCCACAGACCCAGAGAAGGAGCTCCGCGGTGGGCTGGGAGCCGGTGATGCCTCCCTGGAGGCCTCTGGCTTCTACAGTACGGATATGGAGGACAGAGACAGAGGAGAGGAGGGAGGAGAGGACCGGGAGAGGAGAGGGGGAGAGGACGAGTGGGAGAGAGACACGGGAGAGGACAGAGAGAGAAGAGGGGGAGACGGCAGAGGAGAGGAAGAAGAGAGGGCAGACGATCGAGATGTCCACGTTCTGGATGCCAACCACACAACTCCAGATCTGGATTCTCTGATTGGTTAGTAGAAACGATCCTCCCTGCTGAGCCTGATCAATAGATGCTGTTGACACATAATAAACCCTCAGGCAGCCATAGACCCCGGTTTATGTTATCCAACAGGTGGTTTGATCTTCAAAGGCTTCTCTTTGAAATCCCAAAAATGTTTACTGTCCGCCTGAAGTTATTAAATGTTTGCTCTGACCAAATCGAACTTCAAATCCAACATTTCTACAGACTGTGCTGCTCCACTGTGCTCTTCTTCTGCTTTTGCTGGACATACATTAGATAGCAGACTGAGGCTGGCACCATCTTTAATTTTGTCATGAAATAAACAATTAATTTCTTTATTTCCGCACACATAATGCTGTCAAGACTTTCATTTATAATTGCTAATGCAGTCTTAATGATTCTCAAGTGGAAAGGAGCAAAGAAAGATGCGTGGAGAAAACAGAAAACCTAATTGCAACCCCAAATCATCAAGACACTGATTCGCACAGGACTAATATCACAAAACCTCTGTGTTTGGCAAATTATGGTTGGTAATTTGTGGTGAAATTTTTTCTTGACAAATTACGGACATGGCAGATACACACAGGACTAAGATCACAGACGACTTCTGCAATTATTACAAATTATCTGAGGTGCCCAGGTTACACTAATCTTGCGTGAAAAGGGCTAAAGACATACATTGTACTACTGTATATCTCCTGTGAGTCTTTGCATTCAAGCACACTGTCAAAACCTAATGACAACTGTAGAAAAAGGAACAGCTGACAAGAGGTTTATATAGATGTTTACACACACACACACACACATGTATCTGACATGTCTCTTTGTGTCACACAGGCTACAGTCCATCATTCCACCCCTCCAGCTCCGACCAGCCGAGCACATCCCCAGCTGAGGTGCTTGATTCTGGGCTACAGGAGCATCGTGCATCCCCGGTCCTGGAGGTGAGGACAGATGTCTTCCTGTTTGACTGTGAGACAGACATACTGTCTTTAAGGGGCTGTGGCACGCTCAACAAATATGTCAGCATAGGTTGTTGGGAAGGAGGCCAAATAATGCTCCAAAGTTAGGCTGAATTTTTGCGAGGGAACAACTGGCAAGGCCATTTTTAAAGGTTTTATTTGAACTCCCAAGATATCTGACAGCATAATTTAATAATTATATGGGAATCATAATAATAAATAATTAAATTTCTAAAATGCAGTTATGACTTTTGGTTTTGGTGTTTCCATCCCCGAGATTTTCAGTGGCCCCATCTGACCACCTGTAGAAAAAGTTTCTGAGGGCGCCACTGGAATAAAGATGCCTCATACAAATACTGATACATTACTGTAAATGCCAAAACACGCCCAGTTCACACAGCAGTCGGCTCTGCGGAGGTAAGAAAGTCAGATCTGATGATTTTCCTACACAGTGGCACACTGCCGCGTTGAAGCTTCCAGCAGCATAAAAATGAGGAGTCATCTGCTGAAGTTGTTCTTTTAATTAGATCGCAGTAAATCAGATGTAATCCAGGGCTCACCTACTAATCTAGTGTTGAATAATTTAATTAGTCTTTAACTCCTTTAATAGGATTAGTGGTGTCTCTTTGGCCCACATCAATTGGGTGGGCCGAGGTGGGACAAGTGACACAGCAAAGAACGTGTTGATTAAGGCTGTTTTTATTAAACATTCTATCAACAAATTAACGGCAGCATACACATCAGTCTCTGGATATTTTCATGTGAATTAATAATTTGCTCATGTTGTTAAATCTGCCAGTATCTTCTATTATGACAACTTCTTCCAGTGCACTACTGGTCCTTTAGTCCAACCAGTAATATTGCTGCTACTGCTTGTTATAATATAAAATATAACTCCCATTACCACCATCAACATCACGGTTACTACTACTGCTGCAACCTCTGCTACTACTGGAAATATTACTACTACTCACTTATATTACTACAGCTTCTCCCTGCAATATCAGTACTACAAATATTAAGTGAACACTGCTATTACTTCCACCACTGTAATCACAAAATCTGGTGATCTGCAACCAGCCAAAAAAGAAGCAAAACAAAAATAATGTGAATGCTATTTAACTTCTTACATTTATTTTACCTTTGCAAATAACACATTGTAATACATTTCATTTTCGTGCCTTCTGTAAGTCAACCAACAAAAAAAGCAAAGAAATTTGGCCTAAATTTCTGAATCTTTCATACACTGAATGCGAAAAATTAAACTTAGTTTTAACTGGTGTAGGACTGGGACTCAGAGATAATATTATATTAACATCTCTTACCACAAACCACAAAAGAAAACAGCCAAAGGAAACCCTAAATCTGAGCAAAGCAAATTGAAACTAAATAAGTAAAGCATGCAAAGACTTCAAAGCTGCGGCGAATATCACATTTTTCCTTGACCTTGATGGAAAATGTCAGGTGAGGTCAAGGAAAGATGAGAAGGAGAATTCAGAAGGACTAAAGAAAGGTCAACCACAGTGCCAAGAGACTCCAACTGCAATTACACAAGGCTCTGTCACTAAGTTAAATGAGTTAATGATGAAATGACAATGCTCTGAAGACGGACACTCAAAGTGCATCTTAAATACTTTGCCTCGTGTGTTCTCACCATGTTGTTTCATGCACATAATGTAAACGAGGACAGCTTGGTTGGAATTGAAACTAAAAAAGTAATATAGGACACAAGTCAAAAAAGTAAAATGAAATGATTGTCACCTGGAGTGGTTCCTCACCCTCCTGTCCAATCATTCCCTTTAGCGTCTTTATGAGATGCACTGGGCTTAAAACTCACTCCAGTGTAATACCCATCTGCCAGTATACTGGATGCTGAGAGAAACTGACTTCGTATGTAGAGAGAGGAAGTCTGCATATAGTGGGAGGGAGGGAGGGGAGGTGGATGGGTCAAACAAAACTGGACTTTGATTCAGGACATCGCATGACACCAAGGTCAGTATTGTTTTAATGTACCGTTACATAGGCTAAGTTACGTGTGGACGTTGCACACGAATGTCACATTATGTAACATATCAAAACATGATCGCTTTTCTAGTCTAACCAAGTACTTTGGTGCCCTAACATAACTGCAACCATCTCACAACATTAACCAAATTACTGCATTCTGAAATACTATTAGCGCCCAGGCACATTCTGGCACAAACTGGACCGTTCTGTTATTCAGAGCACCACACTCTGAGAGCAGCACAGTAAATGTGTGATTCACGTAACTTTTAATCCATGTAGAAATAGAACGCTCTGTTTCTTCAATCAAACAGCGCTCTCATTTTAGTGTAGAGTGTCAGACTGAATTTATGAACGCACCCAATGCGTTTCAGCTGTGCATCACATAGAGAAGCTAAAGGGCGCCCTGTGCATCGCTGTGAGACACTGAGGGGGCATGACAAAGGGTTAGTATTTCACGCCCTGGGAATGAGAAGGGGTTGTCCTGTCCACTTACATTTATTATTTATCACATGAAACCCTATTAGTATGATTGATTTAAATAATTGTTAGATGTATGTAAGATAGTGTAACAGTTGAATATATGAAATGTGCCTTTAACATGATGTATACTGTGTCGCTTAACAGCAACGTCATCAAGCAGTGCTTGTTATGATTTGAGTCTATTGAAAGCGCACCCAACGCTGGTCGGACGGATACCTCTGTGCTCCTGCTTTTTCTTTTGTCTCTCAACACAACAGTGATGGTTGAAGTACGTGTAGCGACTATTCTGTTCATGTATGAAAAGGTAGTAGCCATACAACCGGGCTTGGTAAGGTTGGAGTGTTTTTAAGTTGATGTAAAAATAAACGATGAGCATTTGTGAAATTCCTCACTCGTGTGGAAGTGAGTTTCTGCCTGTCGTCTAACTCCAAAGAGCTACACAGACCCAAAACCATTACAATAGGCATATCATTTGTTTTTGTGAATGGCCAAAAGGTGCATTGTTTTAAATATTGCTGCCGCAAGGAATTGTAGGACAGCATCATCTCCTTTCCTTTTATTAAGTATGGTCCAGTGTACCCAGTGCTAAAGAAGATAAGTAAGACAGCATTGAAGCACCTTTCCTTAGCATTTAAAACATTTTCCACAGCTCTTATAATGGATGCAACTTCGATACTTCCACGTCATTTCACTCACCTTCCCAAGCAAAAAGGACTATTTGAATGCAGCAGTTTTAGTCCATTAATATCATTTTTTAAATCAACTCAGTGCTTCTCTCATCTGATTTATGGCAGCCAGACTCTCAGAGGACTCTACTTTGACTTTCACCACGACGAGTGCCTCCATATAACTTCTTCCTTTAACTTGATATCTACCACACAGGTGGGTCCTTTAGAGAGAGAGCTGTGGGAGGCAGAGGCGGAGGAAGATGGTCACTCCAGTGGCTATGGAGTCCTCCACTCCTCCATCACTACAACTAGCTCTACATCTGCTGCTGCTGCTACTCCGACTGCTGCTGCTGATGGAGACGTTGCAGGAACTGCCACCCCTGAGACTGACACAGGCACAGACTTCGGGCTGCTGGGAACTTACACAAAAGGTATTTAAAATGAAGATTAACTATCGACTGACTGTTTGATTTTGTTTGAAATATCTCAACAACTGTTGATGGATTGCCGTGAAATTTGGTTCAGACATCAACGTTCCCCTCAGGATGAATCTTAATGACTCTGGTGATCCCTTAATTTTACTCCAGTGCCACATTGAGGTTGATATATTTGGTTTTAAATGAAATATCTCATTAACTACTTGGTGGATTGCCATTAAATTAAATTCATGTTCCCCTCACAATGAATAATAATAGCTTTCAGTAAGTGACTACAAGTCAGAATAGAAATGACTCAAATTAACAGAGTGATTCATGATTTCCACCTCTGCCACCAGCACGGCCGCTGATTTTTAGACTTGTTTAACTAAGACTGCCAGGATCACCACACGGCCATGAATTAAATCCAAAGTATTAACATCACATGAGAAAAGTGCTGCGAATAAAGATGAAGAGCATCCTGTGGTTCACCTCTGCAGATGAGACAGAGGATGAAGAGACAGAGAGGCAGGAGGCAGAGGAAGAAACCGGTCTGGCACACAAAGGCGTATTTACCCAGAATCCCACTGTGGCAGAGGTTGGCATGGCTCCCAGCAGAGAGCCCCTTCAGCCCAGTGTGGAGGAGGAGGAGGAGGAGCTGGAAGAGGAAGAACGTGAGTTGGAAGGTGGGAACCTTTTGTCATATTTGCTGATACTATCACAACATCCACACGGTAATACATGAGTCAGATAATCTGTGAAATATATCATCTTCCTCCTCGTCCTCGTCGTGCTGCTAATGACATTTGCTAGAATCAACTGCAGCTGAAGGAAAACAACCAATCAGAGCGGAGGAGTCTCTAACGCAGCTGTCAATCATGTCAATCACTGCTTTTGACTTGCAGCGCTGCATAAAAATTGATTTGTATATTCACTCAAGGGGGTCGACTGCAAGACACGAGTGAAGAGGAGGAGGAGGAGAGATGGAGAAAGATGGAGGAGGAAGAGGGGATAAGAATCAGACACATCGTCCCGCTCACGACAGATCCTTCACCCACCATCGGCTTCACCGACCCGTCCTGGAATTGGCTGAACAAGACCACGCCCCTGCAGACCCAGAGGACAGAGGTCAGGGGAGGCGGGGTCACAGAGGTCTTCTTACCGGAGGGTGATATCGATGAGATGGAGGAGGCACGGCAGGTGAAGCTCTCTAAGTCTAAATCTAAAGCTCTCTGTAGTCTCACATGTATCAGATATTATTGTTCTAACCCTGACCAAATCTTTCAGGTGGTGTGTGTCGACTGGAGTGAGCTGGCTGGACGTGGATATGTCATCCTCAACATGACGCAAAACTTGAACTGTGTAAGTACAACGGTTCAAATTAAAGGTGCTGCATTTCGCATAAATATTTTCACAGTGTGGTATTAGTACTTTTTCAGAGGTAAAGGATCTGAATACTTCCTCCACCACTGACTGCATGATTATCAACAGAAAAACGTAATAAAGTTCGGTATTGGCACCAAGATGTTGGAGCCGGGCTTCTCTCCCACTCTGTCAGACAAACAGTGAATGAGTTCAGTTCAGTTTTACAGACGCAGCTGCTGGAGGCCATCTGTTCGTGTGTGTCTGTGGTGGTGAGGGAGGAAGGACCTTCACCATGGTGTCTGTCGCCATGGCGGCAACACAAACCCTCCCCTCCACCGCAGTGACCTCAGGGTTGCTACTGAAACATGGATGGAGCCAGAACTGTGCTCCTTTGACTTTACATAATTTTTTCGTGTCTGAGAATTAATTTTTGTGTTCATGAGTAATATTGTGTGTGAGAGAGAAACAGATGGAAAAACTTTTTGATATCTGCAGCAAAATCAGGTGGTCACTTCTTGAAAAATGTGTGTGTGTGTGACAGGAGGAGTTTCGTGTGGATCAGGGCATGCGGTTGTTGAAGATCATGGAGCGAGTGTTTGCTCGAAGAATGAACAGCCCTGAGGGATCGTGGGTACTTTACCTTAGCAAGCCGACACACCAGCAACACCAGCTGCTGATGAACGTGGCATCTGAGCAAGGTACACACACACACACACTCACACACACTATAACATATCTATAATATATAGGACGAAACAAATACGTCCATCATCATAAGTTTATTCACATTCTCTGAATAAATACAGACGCTATGTGAGCCTCTGTGTTGTAACCGTCTTTTCTGTAACTCTTTTTCATCTTTTTTGGACAATATTTGGCATAATTGTAATAACTGGTGAACCAGGTGCGAGTGGACTCAAAAGCACAACTCTGGAGACAGTTCGGGTAAAATAACTTAGTCAAAAGTTGGTTCAGTACACCGAAGGTCGATCAGCGGAGGCAATCAAATCCAATAGGGATGAGGCAGAGGCAGAGTCAATCAACAGGCAAAATTAAAAAAAACAAGAAGTGGACACAGGGACACAAAAGGCTGGAACGCCTTTTGAGAGAACAAGACACACACTTAATAATCTGGCGAGGGAAAGGATAACGAGGCACAGGTGAGGCTAATCAGGGCGGGGCAGACGATCAGACACAGGTGAAGTCATCCAAAGGGAGGCAAAACACACAGGTGATCTGAAACGAGGGGAAATGTGAGTTTCAAAGTAAGACAAAAAACAACATGAATGAATGAAGCAAATAAAAACATAACCTAAGAAACTTAAGCTGTGACAAAATCACAGCGTGTCCTCCACCTCACTCCCCGCCGCTACAGACCACCGTGCCAGGAGGAGAGCTCGCAGCAGCTGCAGCAACCTGAATCAAATCAGGGCGACCCCTAGCTCAAGGTAACCAGACAGCCCTGGCTCCCTGTTGGATCGCAAACTTTCTGTTGCTGCTGTGACACCCAGTGCTCAGGGGGTTTGTGCTGGTTGAATTTGAGCTGCTACAACTGCCGACAGAAGGTCCTTTTCTGGAGCTGCTGCCTGCTCTCCTCCTGGCGAAGCAGTTACAGTGGCGCGGAGCAAGATGGAGGGACCGTAGGGTGACAAAATAGCGGTTCTTGTCTCATTTGTGGTCTAATAAACAAGGAGACATGGTTGTCTGGTGTGAGGAGCTTAAGGCAAAGAAGGGAGAGCCGCAGGAGGAGGGTGCATTTTCAAATTCTGCCTTTCTTCCTTTTTCAGATTTATGCCTCCCCCAGCTTCAGACCTGTCAAGTAAATTTCTAACCTTAATGCTCACTTTAACCTTGACTGAAGACTGCACTCTGAAACATTTGATCCTTGTTATAAAAAGCAGCCTGGTGTTGAAGCCTTATTTCTTTGCATAAATAGACAAAAATAGATGTTTTGACGTCACATGCAGTTATTTTCAGCAGCCAGTGCAATATCAGAAAACCTCCAGCCTTCTAAAACATGAGTAACAAATGTCAGACATCAAGAGAACCTGTCAAATAAGAAGAAGCTTCAGTAAATGCAGACTGGCTAACTGGCTCAGTTCTAAATGGTGTTTTGAGAGCTTCTTAAATCATCCACACATTCACACACGTATAAACACACACACAGACACTGCTGTTGGCTTTTAGGACTGTGTTAACATTGTTCCACATGTGTCGTGTCTTCCAGGAGTGATAGAGGCGAAGGAAGTGCTGGGCATGCTGGGAGAGATCAGGAAGAGTTTGAATAAGGTACACTGACAAATTACTTCTTTACAGTAGGTGTGTATCTCCTGGTGTTGTAGCACTGTCACAAAATGCCTCCATCATGATAAATGAAAGCAGAGATGACAAAGTTTCTGCTCCTGTTGGACACATTGTGATTTCTACCTGTTAATTCATGTGGAATTCACAGAGTAATCAGAATCAGGTTTATTACCAAGTAGGTTTTCGCATTCAAGAAAGAGTCTAAACTTTAGACTTAAGGTAAAGATTGGCTGTGTTGTTGCCTTGGCTCCCAGGTAAAGAATTACCACTTAAGTAACAGTGATGAGGAGTTGATTGGTCCATTTATCATCTGTTCATTCAATTATTTCATTCAATCTGATACAAGAATAAAAGTATTAACAATTAAATGGATTTAAAAACTGTAATAAAACAAAAAAAACAAACAAAAAAGCTAGACCAAAAAAATAAATAAAATAGATTTGAACTGCTGTGTGACTGGTGTGTTTGCTTCATCAGGTGGGCATTCAGAACTACAGCACTGCTAGTAGCTGCCAGTCTCGTCCCAGTCAAACACGCAGCGACTACGGCAAGCTGTTTGTGGTGCTGGTCATCATCGGCTCCATCTGCATGGTCATCATCACATCTGGATTCATTTACATCTGCTGGCAAAGACGACTTCCTGCAACCAAAACTACGGTAGGTAAACACCCAGTAGTAGAATGTAATGAAGTACATTTACTCAAGTACTTTGCTTGAGTACAATTTTGTTCTCGCTGTTAACACTCATATAAAGGTGCACAAACAGAATCCTTATCCTTATCCTTCAGCACTTATTTTTTACCTCAGTTTCGCGCTGAAGAACTTCACTTTGTGGAGAATGGCTGCCACGACAACCCCATGCTAGACGTGACCAATGACAATCAGCGTGAGTTGCAGGAGAAGAAGCCGACGACCAATGGGCTTGCAGGAGGAGGAGAACGAGGCGGGGAGGAGAGCAGTCGCTGGCAGGTGATTGGATGACTCATATGGATGGTCTCTTTTTTTCTTTGGGAGAATTAATTTTATTGTGCTCAGCAAACAACAGGAAACCTCTCATCCTTTTTTTTTCCTTTCAGGTGTTTGTCAATCAAGCAGCAACCGAGGAGGAGGAAGAAGAGCAGGACACACATCTCTGAGAGACAGGTTATTGATAGACAGATGATAAGTGGAGCTTAAAAGGAAGAAGAAGAAGAAGAAGAAGGTAATAAAGAAAATGGAAGATAAAAAAAAGGAGGAAAAGGAGAACGAAGACAGAAGGAGAGAAAAGTAACGTAAAGCCTGAGTAATATAAATGTTTTCCAGTCAGGAGGTTAGGAGGAGGTTAGCAGGAGGAGTCACTGACATCTTCATGGATATCAGACACTAGGGTTTATGTCAGCGTCTTTAAAATTTGAATTCATGGAAAGACAAACTTCTCTTAATCTCAAAAAATGTCCAACTTTTGAAACAAAGTTGGACCTCTGATTGGGAAAGCTTCATGTCCCTACTTGATGATAGATAACATCATCTGTTTAGCGTGCCTTATGCTTTTAGCTTTTTGCACTTTGCCTGCAAGTGGCAAACAAAACATGAAACTAGCGACAAAAATCCGTTTAAAAAGCACCTTTTCCCACCATTAACGTTTGAATGTAAAGGAGCTCTAAAGTCTTAAGCAGCAACATTGGGAACAGTTGATATTTTATTTCACATTAAGCCAAATTCTGTGACAAAATGCTCACAGGAAACTTGGAGTGAAGGCATCCTAAGCAGAGAACGAAGTCACGCTACCTTGTGTGTATTTTGTAATCAAAGCTTCTCTGCGGTTTGTTGTGATAAACCGGTCCGGCTGCACGTGTGTGTTAGTATATGTGAACATGCCACTGGTTAGCTTATTGCTGCCGATTTGCACTGCACTCACAGTTACCAGTGTCATTGCGGAGAGGTAGCATCCACCTTCCAGTTTCCCTTGGTTAACACGGTTAGCTCTGTTAGCAATGTTGCTGTTGTTTAGCACTGCTTACTGAGTTACCACTGTTAGCTGCTCACTGCCGGCACAGCCCCCTCCATGTTGAGAACTGTGTGCAGACAACTCTGAATATCATGTGGAGTTAAATCAAGTTAAATCAAGAATATCCAAAAATTCATGAAGTTTAAGAATGTTGCTGTTGTTTAGCACTGCTTACGGAGTTAACACTGTTAGCTGCTAGCTGCCAGCTGGGCCACCTCCATGTTGAGAACTGTGTGCAGACAACTCTGAATTTCGCATAGAGCCCAAGTTAAATCAAGAATATCCAAAATTCATGAAGTTAAAGAATGTTGCTTTTGTTTAGCACTGTTGGCTGCTAGCTGTTGGCTCAGCCACCTCCATGTTGAGAACTACGTGCAGACAACTCTGAATTTCACATAGAGCGCAAGTTAAATCAAGAATATCCAAAATTCATTAAGTCAAAGAATGTTGCCATTGTTTAGCGTCGTTAGCTGCTAGCTGCTGGCTCAGCCACCTTAATGCTGAGAACCATGTGCAGGCAACTCTGAATTTTGACATAGAGTCAAAGTTAAATCAAAAATATCCAAAATTCATGAAGTCAAAGAATGTTGCCATTGTTTAGCACCATTAGCTGCTAGCTGCTGGCTCAGCCCCCTCCATGTTGAGTGCTGTGTACAGACAACTCTGAATTATCGATAGAGATCAAGTTAAATCAAGAATATCCAAAATTCATCAAGTTTAAGAATGTTGCTGTTGTTTAGCACTTCTTACCAAGTTAGCACTGTTAGCTGCTAGCTGCTGGCTCAGTCACTTGCATATTGAGAACTGTGTGCAGACAACTCTGAATTTCGCGTAGAGCTGAAGTAAAATCAAGAATATAGAAAATTCATTAAGTTAAATCAAGAACTTCCCTTAAAAACATTAAAACTTAAGAGATGTTCAGTGGTTTCACCCTGATGTCTGACTCCTGAGACAACAGCGACTCCTCTTAGCTTCTCCTCACTGAACAGGAAGTACAGCCTGTAGCAACTTTGGAAGTAAGGTTTTGGCACTTTATCGATTCCTCTTGGAAATAGCGACTATCATCATTGAAATGCTGCATCATGTTAAATGTATTACATACAGTGACAGAAATATCTCTGTTTTGCTCATAGGAATGGTTGTAACCGCCGAGGATGTTTACTGTTCACTCTACAACCAGTCATGTGATTGCTATATTTACGTCCTGTTAGCCTAATATGCTTTTTTTCTCAATAGTGTTGGAATGGCTGCTGTACGCTCCGGGCTAACTCTTGAGGCGATGACACATGGGCAACATCTAGAGGCCAAAAGCCTGAACAAAAAATATCTAGTTACAGTGTTGAAGTCTAGTCACCAAACCCCAAGTCCAAGTCGAGCCCAAAGTCTGTGATGTTTTAATGTTAAATGTTGAAGTCTGAGTCATCAAAGGCATGTCCGAATCACCATGGTCATGTTCGAGTCGCTGTGATCAAATCAGTATATGCATCTCTGAATCACCTCTGCCATATCCAAGTCTTTCCAGTCACGCCCAAGTCAACTAAGTTGTCACAAAAGGCACTAAAAATAAAACAATAACATAACACACCAGATTATGACAGCATGTTTGATTGACCAGTCCATGTCTGAATCAAAACCGTCATGTCCGAGTCCCATTTGAGTCACTGTGATCATGCCCGAGTCACTTTATGTCTAAATGAACATAGTCAAGTCCAAGTTGGCATGGTCATGTTCAAGTCACTACAGTTATGTCTAAAGTTGTGTTTACGCCCCAGGCACTACAGTCATGTCAAAGTCACTACAGTCATGTCTGAATGAACATAGTCAAGTCCAAGTCGGCACGGTCATGTTCAAGCCTCTAGAGTCATGTCTAAAGTTGTGTTTACGCCCCAGGCACTACGTTCATGTCAAAGTCCCTACAGTCATGTCTGAATGAACATAGTCAAGTCCAAGTCGGCACGGTCATGTTCAAGCCTCTAGAGTCATGTCTAAAGTTGTGTTTACGCCCCAGGCACTACGTTCATGTCAAAGTCCCTACAGTCATGTCTGAATGAACATAGTCAAGTCCAAGTCGGCACGGTCATGTTCAAGCCTCTAGAGTCATGTCTAAAGTTGTGTTTACGCCCCAGGCACTACGTTCATGTCCAAGTCCCTACAGTCATGTCTGAATGAACATAGTCAAGTCCAAGTCGGCACGGTCATGTTCAAGCCTCTAGAGTCATGTCTAAAGTTGTGTTTACGCCCCAGGCACTACGTTCATGTCAAAGTCCCTACAGTCATGTCTGAATGAACATAGTCAAGTCCAAGTCGGCACGGTCATGTTCAAGCCTCTAGAGTCATGTCTAAAGTTGTGTTTACGCCCCAGGCACTACGTTCATGTCAAAGTCCCTACAGTCATGTCTGAATGAACATAGTCAAGTCCAAGTCGGCACGGTCATGTTCAAGCCTCTAGAGTCATGTCTAAAGTTGTGTTTACGCCCCAGGCACTACGTTCATGTCAAAGTCCCTACAGTCATGTCTGAATGAACATAGTCAAGTCCAAGTCGGCACGGTCATGTTCAAGCCTCTAGAGTCATGTCTAAAGTTGTGTGTACGCCCCAGGCACTGTTCATGTCAAAGTCACTATGGTTATGTCCAAGTCCCTACAGTCATGTCTGAATGAACATAGTCAAGTCCAAGTCGGCACGGTCATGTTCAAGCCTCTAGAGTCATGTCTAAAGTTGTGTTTACGCCCCAGGCACTACGTTCATGTCAAAGTCCCTACAGTCATGTCTGAATGAACATAGTCAAGTCCAAGTCGGCACGGTCATGTTCAAGCCTCTAGAGTCATGTCTAAAGTTGTGTTTACGCCCCAGGCACTACGTTCATGTCAAAGTCCCTACAGTCATGTCTGAATGAACATAGTCAAGTCCAAGTCGGCACGGTCATGTTCAAGCCTCTAGAGTCATGTCTAAAGTTGTGTTTACGCCCCAGGCACTACGTTCATGTCAAAGTCCCTACAGTCATGTCTGAATGAACATAGTCAAGTCCAAGTCGGCACGGTCATGTTCAAGCCTCTAGAGTCATGTCTAAAGTTGTGTTTACGCCCCAGGCACTACGTTCATGTCAAAGTCCCTACAGTCATGTCTGAATGAACATAGTCAAGTCCAAGTCGGCACGGTCATGTTCAAGCCTCTAGAGTCATGTCTAAAGTTGTGTTTACGCCCCAGGCACTACGTTCATGTCAAAGTCCCTACAGTCATGTCTGAATGAACATAGTCAAGTCCAAGTCAACACAGTCAAGTCAAGTCACTATAGTCATGTCTAAAGTTGTATTAATGTCCCAGTCACTATGGTCATCTGGAAGCGACTACGGTCATGTGTGAATGAACATAGTCAAGTCGAAGTCAGCAGGGTCATGTCCAAGTCACTACTGCACACTACGATCATGTCTGAGCCTTTCTGGTCATTCATAGTCACTGAAATCATACGAGTTACTACAATAAGTCCCTACAGTCATGTCTGAATGAACATAGTCAAGTCGAAGTCAGCAGGGTCATGTCCAAGTCACTACTGCACACTACGATCATGTCTGAGCCTTTCTGGTCATTCATAGTCACTGAAATCATACGAGTTACTACAATCATGTCGGACCATAACCAACTTTTGAGGGGACACACCCCAGGTGAATACGGTAAAATTTTAAAATGATCATTATCACCATGAAACTTCCCCAGCTGATTACTTACAGTAAGACAAATGTTTTTCAAATTACAAGTTTTCTGAAATTGTATATTTAATTATGCAAATGTATCATCTAATTAAAATGAGCTGATTTGCGTACATTTCCGGAACAATGATCTAAACACTGAAAGAAGCTAAGTTCAAAATTCTTGTTTCTTTTCGTCCTCATATTAGAGGTAAACTAATTTACATAGGGAATTTTGGATATCTCTTTTTATTACTCTGTAAATCAAAAAGTACTGCTGACAGCCATAAAAATATATATTTATTATATATTTATGCCATGTTTTTAGCAATAAAATGCTCTATAAATGAGGCTATGATTATATATTAATGAACCCCTCTTTAATATAGAGAGGAATAAAACTGTTATTGAAGTGGACATTTTTGGCTCAGAGTATGAGAAAAAACTAAACATATGTATTGGAGAAGTTTGTACATTTTTAGACAACAAAGGAATAAACTAGGGGAAAGATTTTCATGACTAAATATCTGCGGAAAGCTTCCTCAGTTGATTACTTATATTTGGGACAATTATTTTTGTATTCCAATTTTTTCCTGAAAATTTACGTGAATGTGCAAATTATGCATCTAATTAAAACTTTTTTGCATACATTTCCAGAACATAAATCTGAAGATGTGTTCTTTGGATGTTTTCCTTTCACTAGTCTGAAAGAAGACTAGAAGAAGAAGAGGAAGCAAAATAGCCCCAAATCTCGAAATTGACCAATGCATTAAAAACTGTTTTTACCTGGGGTGTCTGGCCTTCAATGGGACTCATACTGGACTTGAAAAGTTCAGGGGCACCAGTAATAAAACACTGGCTAGTTACTAAACAACACACACAGTAATATCACACATCAGATGGGCAGACATCATTTGAAATATTTCTGTCTGGTTCTCCGTAAGACGACTCAAATCACTGTTCAGTTAACTGGAATGGAGATGGAGACAATTACTTGCAGCTATTCAACATTGTTTTTTGTGTACTTTTATTCAGATTGATTTTTTTAATGATGATTTTGTTCCTGCGGTTGTCGGTCTCCATTCCTGTTGCAGGTAGTATTGCCCATCTGCATTTCATCAAGATGTTGCCTGTGTTTCGGCTCTTTTACTCTGACTTTTCTCGATGTAACAATACTGTATATGGCTTCACTATAAACTACGCTGATTGATATGCACTTTGTCAGCTAAGCAGGATTCATGGAGCATTCAGGACATAAAGGAGCTCACGAGCGTCCATCCTGAATGACTCCCCGCGATGTAGATTATCTGTTACTAAGAGCACACGATACCGGCAGGACAACAGTCCTCTTGTCCTCCACTGGACGACAGAATAGACGAGCATGTAGCTTTCAGCACTGCAGCAAGCACCAATATAACAAAACATACAGCTTCTGTTGCTTTTATTTGCTGAAACCCTGAATGGGAAAGTTTGGTGGAGACAAATTTTGTTGCTTTTCGACTGAACGCTTTACAGGTTCTGATCATTTAAATTCTCACGGATGTTTTTTCTTCTCAGAATCTGATAGCAGCCTCATGTGTGTTTGCATTTGTTAGCGGTGCTAGTGCAAGTCGATAGGCATTCAGTTGTAGCAAAAAACAAGTGACCCTTTGTCTGTATAAAAATAACAAAGTTAGACTCCTGGTAAGATTTTTAACCAGGTAAACGTTTTGTTAAATTTTTATTCATCCATCCCAGGTATTTTATTTCTGTTAATTTATTTTACACTTTTTTTGTATGTCTATTTATATGCATTTTTATCATGTACTGTCTTATTCTTTTGTTTGTCTGTGTAATAAGTTAAACATGAGAAATAAAGTTTGGAGAAAATGTAATTTCTTGTCATTTCTTGCTCCCGCAACCCTGAACTTTCCCAATAATTGAGTCTAGAAAATATAAGAATAGACAAATGATTTGTTGTTTTGGGTCCTGCATTTTTTTTTAAATCTATTTTTTGGCCTTACCTTAAAGAGGGCTCTTGTGTCAAAATCAGACTTTATAAAATAACAGACGTAGCTACTGTGATGCCACTCACTGGCTTGTGGACTCCTTTTTTTGAAACCTCGAGTTTGGTATTTCGGCTGTTGCAGTCTTGCTTTTTTGGAGCCAGAGGTGACCATATTTGGATGGGAGGGTGAGGGTGAGGAGCGAGGGGTGGATCTGATGCATAGACTTTGGTGACAGCTGGCAGACAGCCTGTCAGTCAAGCGGCCCCACCCTTAAATATGCATGACTTAAACCTTAATAAAATGTAAATGGGTAAGTTAAATAGAAGTCCACCCCCATGCAGTTATCACGAAGCTAGCTATACAGACCCAAACTGTTTTTGTACCAGGCTGTAAACATGTTAATTTCTGCTGTAAAGATTGACATTTGAACATGGGGGTCTATGGGGACTGAGTAACTTCTGGAGTCAGCCTCAAGTGGTCATTCAAAGAACTGCAGTTTTTGGCACTTCGAAGTTGGCTTCAGTTTTTGGCCCCAGAGTTGGATGCTTAGACAAAATTGTGTTTTAAACAATATGGCAGGTGATATCATTCTTGTTTTGTTACTGTTAACAAATACCATGAAAATACCAAAATCAACAATCAGTTTCTCACGCAGTACAACTGTGTGACTCACTGATGCTTGACAGTTTTGAGGTCACAATGGATGTCAATGGGACATAGGAATACGGGCTGTAATATACTTGAGAAAGAATTGAGCCTGGCATAATCTTAAACTGTCCTTTATACAAGCATCAAGTCTCTACTTTTTATTTCACTACATTCATTTGGCAGCTTTACTTACTTTACAAATTGAGATTTTTGCACATGAAACATATGAAACCATACAAGTAGAGCTGAACCTATTAGTCCATTGATGGCAAATTATATTGTTCTGATAACTGTTCATGCAAAAATACAATGGTCCCAGGAAACAGTTTTCTGCACCGGCAGAAAAAAGCAGCATGCCACTCTACAAAAACTGTTTAGAAATTACCTGTGGAGCGTTACAAAATGCTCAAGGTGTCAACCTGGCTTCTAAATTTCCCTGGGAAGGAGACTAGTCTTCCCCCAGTTTGTGCAAACATCGCTGAGGCCCAACTTGGTCTTGTGGTCAGAGGAGGCAAAAACGATCATCCTGATCGAATTGACGGTCCCGTGGGAAGACAGATGTGAGGAGGCGTACGAGAGGAAGGCTTCCAAGTACCAGGACCTTGTCGAGCAGTGCAGGGATGAGGGATGGCAGGCCTGGCTATTCCCAGTTGAGGTCGGGTGCAGGGGATTCCTGGCACAGTCTGTGTGGAAGACACTCACTGCTCTGGGAGTAGCAGGAAGGGAGAGGAAGACAGCTGTCCGCAGGTTGGGGGAGGCAGCGGAAAGAGCATCTTGTTGGCTCTGGAATAGGAGGGAGGAGTTGAGCTGGGGGCCAGGAGAAGATGGACAGTGACTGGCCATCACTGCCGGGCCCGCCAACTGGAGGGCGTTGTGGTTTAGGGTCGAAACGCCTAGTGGAAGTTGGACACCACCTGAAGACATCTTCTCCTGGCCAAAAGCGACAGTCATGCAGACATGACTTAAGTATGTAGCATCAACAAAGATGTATTCAACAGCCCAGGTCCCAATCTGCTCAAGGATTCTTGCGATGTGCCGGTACCCCAGATGTACCCTAATCCAAGGTGGGGCCTCCTTGGATGGGACTTGGCTCTGACCTGTGGAGGCATGGACACAGGATCTCTGGGAGTGTCCTGCGGTGTCTGGCACCAGTGCGTTGGCGGTAGATCCATTTAGTCCAGTGGGTTGTGAGGTGGGTTAATGGCATGTGACAAAGATGCTCATTCAGATTGGGACCTGGAGAATTTGGAGGCCAGGTTGACACTTTGAGGTCTTTGTCACATTCCTTGGGCCATTCCTGAGCCATGTTTGCAGTGTGGCATGGTGCGTTATCCTGCTGGGGGGCCACTGCCATTGGGGAGTACTGTTGCCATGAGGAGGGGTACTTGTCTGCAACGGTGTTTGAGTGGGTGGAACATGTCAGGTGGTATCCACATGAATGCCAGAACCAAAGGTTTCCCAGCAGAACAATGCATTGGAACAAAATAATCAAAGTTATTCACTTCACCTGTCAGTGGTTTGAATGTTTTGGCTGATCGGTGTATTGTACATACTTTTACAGTTAATACAGATTTTTAACATGTAAATACCATCACTGTCAATGTGAATATAAGTGTGCTCCATCTACTAATCTCCTCTATGTGTACACACTTAGCCAATAAAGCTGATTCAGATTCATACGTTTACTTAAATACATGACTTTACTTCAAACATAGTATTTTCAATGTGCTATATAGTAGACCTACTTTTATTTAAGTTAAATATCTGAATACTTCCTCCACTGCTGCTGACTGGTGAATATAACCTGCCACAGTGCAGTGATATGTAGTCAGGCAGAGCGCAGTCCTCTAAACCTGCCTGCTTGGCCTCAGCTTTGCACCAGGGGTCCTTGAAGCTAAAGCTAATGGTCGCTAAACGGCTGCTATGTTCGCAGTCAGCAGTCAGCAGTGCAGACAGGACTGGTGTTGATGGTTACCCTCTGCTGAGAATGCGCCCTAAACACGTCAGGTTTGTCCAATTTCTATTACAAATACATTAAAACACAGACCGCAGATCTTACAGATACGTCAGTCTGTGTCACTTTGATGGCTAGCTGCATTGTTCACGCTACAATACAGGCGCTTGATATTTTGATTTTTAAGCTAACCTAGCTACATAGTGCTGTTTCGTCTACGGAGAGAATGCTAATGCCAAACTACCCTTCCACGTTGGCGGTTTGTACTGGCCTTGCTTGTAACTTAGAAAGCGACTCAACTGTTGACATTTATGTCACAATCGGACAGTTCAACCACCAAGCAGATTGATTGAATCCTTAAAACGTGCTAACGTTACTTTAAGAAGTGGCTCACGCTGCTAGCTAACGTTACCGCCCACTGCGAAGGCTAACATTATTTGTGTAAGGCGAGTGTAGCTGAGACAGTTCTAAATGTTAAAATGAGTTCATTAAAGTGCTCTTTAGTTTACATGCTGTATGCAGAAAAAACGAGCGATTGGCCGGGCTGTAAAATTAGTTTGTATGATGTCTCATAGTGCGTTTGATTTCAACTACAAGCCTGACAACATTTAAATTAGTTGTTTGTTGAACAGGGTTTGGTTCTGTCCCTTTATCCGCACATCTGGGAGTGGGCTAATCTGATCGTTTCTTGTCAACTAGTTTCAAGACTGGGCAGTCAAGGTGACGTCAAGTAACAAAATAAATAACCAAACGGTGTGTCCTTATTTGACTAACCTAGACGATTGTTAACTCAACGTTAGCTAGACTCAACTAACGTTAGCGAACTTACTCGGGTCACAACTGCAAGTGAACGTAAGTTGTTTAGCTGAATGTTTGCGAATCAACCTTGATAGCTAGCTAATATTAATGCTAGTTAGTTATAGCAACATGATTGTGATTAAAGTTATGTGAACAGGAGGTAGTCAGTGAATGCTGGCAGCTGCAACTGACAGCAACTCTGCTTTTGTCCTTCATCCAGCCGCAGCCAGTTTTCCTGTTGAGACCAGCTGCTTTAACGCCAGTGTCACCGCAGTTTGTGACTCCGACTCACATTAAAGTGAATTCTGTTGCTTCATTATAATCAGTCAAACCCATTAATGTGGTTAGACACTTTATATTAGTCATTTGGTATTCGTATAATAGCATGGGGCTGCTTAGTGCGTAGCTAATTAACGTTAGCCGAGCGGCTATGCTACGAGTCTCAGGCCCTTACAAGGAAGTAAGCCTTGGCAATAGTTTAGTCACGTCTTGGTTATTGAGGGAGCTTTAACTGCCAAACCCCATTGTAATATGAAACATTATCCTGCCTAAATTGCATGTCAGGTGAACTCTATCCTTTTAGTGTGATAGCTAGTCTATAAATAGGTCTGAAATTTCACCTGTTTCCTCTAAAGCCCATATGTATTTAAGAGTTTATTTATAAACACAAATGTGATGCCTGTGCCAAATGTGCAGTCTTGTGTAGCTGTTAAAGGAGTGGCTCCTAGAGAAGTGTGCATGAAAGGCAGGTGATTCATAAAGATGGAGTTTTGGGTTCACACTCTAATGTTGTGAGGCACTGTGAGTCTTCTCTTGCCAAAGTGGCATGGTCAGCATGTGTAAAAAGTGTAAATGAAATGTCATTTTTTTTATTTATGGGGGGATTATTTCTGTGATTCTCTTTATTGTTAGTCCATAAATGTCAGAAATTTATTATTATTTTTTTTAAATGAAAAAGGCGCATCACAATTTTGCAAAACCCATATTGCTTTGTTTGTCCAATAAACCTGTTCAAAACTCTAATCTTATTGATATAATAAGAACAGTCAACAATCAACAAATTGTTTCAGCCTTACAGTGAAACTCAGTTTCTATCAAGCTTTGCTCTGTTGCACGTATACAGGATTAGCTGTATATGGATTTGCTATAAATGGCTTTGTCCATACAAATAGTCATCGTTGGTTATTGTGTGTATATATTATCTAATAATCATTTTCTTTTAGCAGTACTAGTACACTCACAGGGTGTTTAGGCTGGAGCTACAGCTGCACGATATGTAAAAAAAAAAGTTATATAGCAGTTATTTTGATGGATGTTGTTGATATTGATTCATTCATTAATTTTCACTAAAAAGAATATAAAATGATGTTGAGATGATAATTACTGCAGTCTGTACCAAACAAGCATTTTTCCGTATGTCTGTGATTTGATTTGTAGGCCAGGGCATCTCTGTAGCACAATGATACTTTATTTTTATTGATATGCTGTGACACATTTTACCTTTAACAAAAAAATGCAGCTCCTGTGATTAGGATAAATTAATTTAGCAGTCCTATTCAGAGCTAAAACAGTCACTCAATTGTCATAAAAAATATCAGCCGCTATTTTGAGAATCAATTTTTTTTCCCCAGTCAATTTTCAAGCCAAAAATTGTCAAACAATTGCCTTGTTCCAGTTCCTCAGTCATGAGGATTTGCTGCTTTTCTTTGTCATGTGACAGTAAAGTGAATATAACGACATCCCTCTGGGTTCTTGGAAGTTTCCCTTTTATTAGCAAATAGAACTCGAACAATCAAATACAACAATCAATAGTTATCAACAAAATAAAAGGCAGATTCATTGATTAAAATAAGTATCAGTTGCAGCCCTAGTTGGCCAAACTTTTCAGATGCTTAGGATTTAAAATCCTCAGACTTTTCTCTTCTCTGTCCTCTGCTCTCCAGGGATGACCTGACGACGAAACATCTGGCTTCCGTGACCTGTTCCTCCATCACCCCAGCTCTGTCGGATAGGACGACTCTCCCACATCTTCCCATCTGCTAAGGTGTGTCGCCCCCCGCCCCACTCCAAGTCTCCTCCATCCTCGTCCTTCAACGACCTCAATCAACCCAGGATTGAACTGTACCAGTTGAACAGAGACCCTGTGCCAACGCGCTTCATAAAAAGAGACAATGTATTGCTTACAGTGGCTACTCCCCGTGCTGCTCATCCCTAAGCCGCTGAACCCAGCGCTGTGGTTTAACCACTCCATGTTCATGGGCTTCTACCTGCTCAGCTTCTTGCTGGAGAGGAAGCCCTGCACCATCTGTGCCTTGGTCTTCCTGGCTGCCCTCTTCCTCATCTGCTACAGCTGCTGGGGCAACTGCTTCCTCTACCACTGCCAGGACGCAGCACTGCCGGATGCTGCCCACGACCCAGCGATTGTTGGGACCTAGGAGCGAGAAAGAGGGAGGAGATATCAGAAAGGGGGAGTGGGGGGGTGCGAAGGGTGACGAGGCATTGCCGGAGAATGATACTGCCACGCTGTAAGAGGGGATAGGCTCAACTTTGGGGGTGGGAGAGCGGTGTTGAAGGACTGCTGGAGGGGAATACCGCAAGTAAAAAGCGTGCTCAGCCAAAGGTGGTGTTGAGGAGGAGAAGAGCCAGTTTCGGAGGATTATGGGAGGGGGGGGCTGTTTTGCCATGCTGTAAAGAAAGACAGACTTGAATTTGAGGTGGTAGGAGAGGAGGGGGTACCAATGTCAGAGGAGACACTGTGTATACTTTCATGTAGAAGGGGGGGGGGGGGCATGAAACGCTAAGGAAAGGACGTGAACTTGAGGAAAGAAGAATTTCACTTTTTACAGCTTTTCATTCCAGCGTTCGAATGAAAATTAAACGCTAAATCCACCACGTGTGACGTCAACCTAAAATGACCACAGTGATTCAGTATTCTGGTTCCCTTCGAGCCCTCTGGCTTGTTTACTTCCAATGTTGCTCAAGAAAGATGTCTCTTTCTCCAAAAACCTGTCAGGTCGTCTTTTTAGAATGAAAATAATCTCCACCTCAGACTGCCAAAATTCATGCAAACTTGCTGAAAGCTCCAGACGGTGTTGGATGATTCACTGGCCGCCATGCTTGCTTCTACCGTTGCAGTCGTTGACAAACATTAAAGCCGGGTAGTGTTAAAGAATTGGTGGTATCTTGACATGTTCGCCCCCAAGCTCTAGAGGAAAGGGCAACATGCCTTTCACAGTCCAACCTGACCACACTCTGTCGCCACTTTGGCTCTGCACACGTAACGCTATCCTCAACAAGGAGAGCACACAGACACTGGACAATCAATAACTATGCTGTGAATAATTCCTCTTTGCCGCATCGCCACACGAACACACCTCAGAGGTGTAATAATGCTGAGAAACTGACCCATTGTTATTACCCACTGTGCTCTGCAGCTGCCCCTCTCATCGTCTCCTCTTCCTCCTCTTGACCCTGAGTGAATGTGCCCTACAGCCAGACTCATGATCTGAACTTCTTTTTGTTTTTTTGCTGTTTTTTGTTTGTTTGATGTTTTTCCCGTGCATGGGTTGCCGTTATTTTCTTCTCCAAACATTAAGTTCACAAACATGTTTTAATTAAATAAAACAAAATGCTGAAAGTTTCCAAAGGGTAGAATAATCTGGATGTGTGAGGAGTGTGTGTCAGGCGTACGAAAGATAATTTGTGTTACGTGCGATAGGTGTGTATTTTGTTTTTGTGACCTTGACATGCTGATAAGCGTAAAAATCGTGGCGATACATAAGGTGACCTAACAGTAGGTGGTCAGTATTTTCAGTATCAATAAGCAATACAGAGTGCTGGTTGAGGAAACCGTATCAGATCTTTACTGGCGTGGAGTTTATTGGTAATCAAAAGGGCAATGCTGTCATAAAGTTTCCTTGTGTATCACTGCTGTAAGTGTTATGTTTAGCTGTCAGACACAGGCTAAGGTGTTCATACTGTGTACCTATTTGTGTGTGTGTGTGGGCGTGTGTGGCCTCCTGTCGCAGTGCTGACCATGCTCACTGCTACATTATTGCTTTGGTTTTTAATTTAAATAAAGTTTTTCCTCTCAACGTGTTAAACTGTGTCGAACTCAGTTTCATATCAAGCCTAAAAGAACTGTATTATGGAAACACATTTGGGGATTTAAAGTTCAGGTTTTGTCTTGAAATTTTAAGTTAATCTCTGGGGTTTAATAGAAAGTCGTTAGAGTACATCCTGACTTTTTGTTGTGCTTAATCATTTGGCTTCTTAATATCTTTCAGTAGATGATGATAACAATCCAGAAGAAGCACCTCCTGTGGTCGATCGACCATGCTTCCAGTTAGTGAGGGTGCAGTAAGCATCTCAAAATTCATACATATTACTGGCTCTGTACACACAGCACTCTTTCTTAACACTGGCGTCCTTTTTCAGTTCTCATTAGGGAAAGAGCATATGCATCTGCCAAGAGAAAAAGCAGAGCACCCAGCATAATTTTTCAGAGCGCTCTGCCTCTTTTGTGCAGCTGCTCCCAGCCATCCTAGTTTAAAATATTTCTTAATTTTTCAGGAAGGTGCTGGTGATGTCACTACTGTTCCTTAAGCTCGGCTTCTGTCACAACAAAGACAGAAAAGCCTGTTTGTGGGAGCAGATCAGCCATCAGATGCTGGGTGTTGCTTGTGAGAGTAAGCTCTTTGTTAACCGTGTATTCAACCCTGTTAATGTGGTGTGACGTTAGCTACCGAGCGAATGCTAATGTCAAGGTATTTTCATAGAAACAAAACCCACATGCTGGTAGTGCTTTTTTAATTAAGCGCTCCCCAGCACCCTACTATTGCTTTTCTGTAGGGATGCACGATAATGTTGGCGTATTATCTGTGTGGGCTGATACTGGCTTTAAAATGAAATCTCAGAATCGGCCAACATGCTGATAATATCGGTACATCATCGTAGGGGCTTACATTGGCTTTAAAGTGAATTATTAGAATCAGCCAACGTGCTTTATCTTATTTTGCACAATCAAATTATATCACAGACATTAAAAAGTATTGTATTTCATGTCTTCATCTCAATAAAAGTATACATGCATAATATGATTAATTCCACTACAGAAGAAACTTGACAATCACTAAAATTAGGTAGGGAAAAAACGTGGATATATCGATAGCGACATCGGTTATCGGCCAAATAAGTTGTTATGTATCCACATACCTGATATTGGCAAAAAAAATACAACATCATGCATCCCTGCTTTTCTGCTGAAGAAAAGGGGGTTGTGGACACAGGTCCTTATTTCTGTGGTCTATGACAGTCCAAAAATATGAGTAAACATGATCAACTCTTCAAATTCTAAAAATCAAATTTGTGATGTCACAGAGTATAAAGTCTGGAGCTGCTACATAGACAATAAATTGGGAAAAATGTTATGGATGACGCTGACAGCACCCAAGGGAATGTTCTGAGTATATGGGTACACACTTAAATAGAACTCATTTGGGCATTAAAGAAAACCAACATTATGTGGCCGCCTAGAAGGTGCTTGTGATTGGGAAATGCAAGTAGATTTAGGGGGAAAACTTGTTGTTCCCCAGGAAATAGTTTGTACCAAGCAGAGTGACATAGTGTCGTGGTCAGTGAGTCAATGGATAGTTTATTTCATTGAGCTGACAGTTCCTTGGGAAGACTCAGTGGAAGAAGCCTATGAAAGAAAAAAGCTTAGATATGCAGACTTAGGAGCAGAAGCTGAGCAGCGAGGATGGAAAACTAGGATTTGTCCAGTGGAAGTGGGGTGCAGGGGATTCATAGCAAGATCAGCTGTCTCGCTCCTGGGGGAACTTGGGGTGCGGGAAAATCCAGGAAGAGGAAGGTTATTTAAGTGTGGGAGTGGCCTAATTGAATCCCTTTTGTTTGAGACCATGGTGCAAGGTGAGTGTGTTTGCTGATCCTGTGAGTTTATCTTCTCTATCTCCTTTAACTTTAGCTTATATTGGAGTTATGCTATGTAGCGTGTGAAATGGAGTATGGTGAATGTGCTAGGAAAGGTAGTATCAGCACGGTCACTACCTGGAGCTCGCATAAACGGAGCCTGGGTTTGTTGAAGGTGGCAGTGCTGTTTGGGCTGAGAAAGCCTGGGAGTTTATCTTCTCTATCTCCTTTAACTTTAGCTCATATTGGAGTTATGATATGTAGTGTGTGAAATAAGGTATGGTGAATGTGCTAGGAAAGGTAATATTGGCACTGTCTCTACCTGGAGCTCACATAAATGGAGCCTGGGTTTGTTGAAGGTGGCAGTGCTGTTTGGGCTGAGAAAGCCATGTGTAAGGTAAATGAGGTTGCTGGGTTGGTGCGGGGAGCAGTGAGACCTGGCATTAGGAGTGTCTCTGGGACACCAGAGATCACTGTCTAGCCTCCTGGAGGTGTCGTGGGACCAACTAGATGAAACACCGGTGAAAGGAGGTTCCCACCCGATGACCCCAAAGACATGTTAGTTATCACTGCTCACTGGTCTGTATAGTTAAGCCTTGCCATAATACCTTATCATAGGGCTTAGGAGGTTATTCACTGAGTGCTGATCCTTTCTCTAGAGCACAAACTTCTTGTGTTTATTTGAATGTGGGTCCACAAAATCAGATTCTCACTCATTGTCTATGGAGCAGCTCCAGAGTTTATACTCTATGACATCACGAGTTTGAGACTGATTTCTCTGCTTTCTCGCATTGACAGAGAGTCACTCATGTTCACAAATATTAATTGAACTTTCCTAGGCCATGGAAATAACATTGGGATTCTTCATTTAGGTGGAATTCCTCTTTAAGTCATTACTTTTTTAACAGCTATATTTTCTGGATAGAGAGTCACAAATAAGTAATTGTGCATTTCAGGGTATCTGCATGTCTTGAAACGTCTGAAAGAGCCTTAGTAGGTATTAAACAGTCTTAAAACTAATTGATTTTTTTCCTCTTGCCTGCCTTTAGCTATACATTAAATACCTATAAAAGAAAAATGATGTTTTACAGCTGGGATGTACCAAAAAAATGATAAAGGTAAAGAATTCCAGGCCATATCATCCCTCCTGGTGTTATGACTGTGAGACAGGTATTAAATTGCATTACATGTGGTATTAAAAATGACTTCAAACATCTTACCTTGGTGTACTCCACAGAAACCCTGTCTAACATAAAGGTATAAAGTATAGTATAAATGTGGATAGCACAGTGTCAGCAGTAGCAGCTGAGCGCAGGTGTAAAGCAGATTAAAAAGTAATGGCGGATCAAACAAGTGTAAAACTGTAGACTAGAGCTGCATGTGGGTGTCAGATGATGATGATGCAATTGTAGTGCAAGCAGAGCTCACAACCTGCTCCCATTTCCCCACAGAGTTAAACATCATCATTCACTTCCTCCTAATTGATATTTCCACCCTCCTGTGGACCAGCTGAGAAAGTCTCCCATGTTTATAAAACAAGAGAATGATTTATTGCAGATACAGCGCTGGATATTACCATTGCTTCTTATGAGGAACTCAGAGCCAAGATAAACATTGTGCATCTGTGCACTACAATCATTTAGTAATTTATTAACTGTATTTTAAATGTATCCATGGCTGCTTTAATTTCTCAATGTGGCTATCTATATGCCAGAAATGCCTTTAAATTGTGACTCATTTATTCTTCTAATGGCATAAAATAAAATATTTCTTGAAAAATATTCAATTGTAAAGTTGATAAAGCTTTACAGATATGTAGAGATAAAAGCTTAGTGTCTCCTGGCCTAAATGAGAAAAGATTACTTCCATTTTTGAGATGTATCTTCACTTCATGTTGCAAAAATATTGTAGTATTTACTGGAGCTGTTCTGTCTCCACTGAAGGAAGAAATGATACTCAGCACAGTTAAATTACTGCACACAAAGAACAACTACTTTTAATGCTCTCAAAATATTGAAGTACTTTCTTGTAATTATTAACTGTAAAGGAGGGCACTATAAAATCTCAATAATACACATTTCTGTGAGCAATATACATCCAGTTACAATAATATTTAACTGTTAAAACCACAGGTGTCAGTACAAGCTGAGCATGTCAGAAATAACCCGAGGAAAAAAATACACTGAACTAGACTTTATTTTAATTTAAGTATAATTAATATAGCCTAGGCTACTCTTTAGCTATGTACGAAAAGTATACTGTTTTTTATGTACAACAATATACATCATGCCAATGGTATATCATTAGTGCTATTAAAAATATAACTAAATACAATTAAATGTACTTGGCTTTACCATTTTAAGACATCATGAAGATGTATGTAAATGCACTTTATTTAAAAAAGTATGTTAATCCAACTTTGTTTATATTGGAAGTATTTTTAATTATATTTTAAGTGCACTGTAAAGTCATTACAAAGTCAAGTAAATTATACCTAGTGCTATTAAAAATAGACTTAAAGACTTATGTATTATTTTTTATAATAATGCTGCATCTTATAAAATATACTTTAATCCAACAATCTGTTTTCAACACATTTTAGTTTAATATAAGTGCATATAATTTAATTTAAGTGCATTAATATTATCTGAAAACTGTAGCCTACTGAAATATACTTCAAGTAGCATTAATAATAAAAGGTGTATTTAAGTATTTTTAAGCACATCTGACTGCTGTCTCAAAATAGCACAGCCAAGTACACTTGTATTTTATTATATCTTTAATAGCACTAAGTACAATTTACTTGAGTTTGTAATGACTTTCCAGCACCCCTAAAATATAATTAAAAATACTTCCAGTATAAACAAAGTTGGATCAAAGTGCTTATTTCAGTCAGTATGCCCTCAATAACACCAATAATATATCATTAGTATATAAAGTACACTGTGACATAAAAATAAAGCTTTTATTGCATTAAATAAGTGCATAGGGAAGTGTACTTAGTATACTTATTAAATTAAGTGTAAGTCAGTATAGCCTAGATTTTTTTGTTTTTACTTTGGAAGTGTCAAGATTTGATTTTGACTTGACCCCTGTGTGACCCCGTATTTCATGATTGTGAATATGATTCGTTCTCTGGAGAGGTCACTCATACGTCTCGACCAATGAAAAGCCT